TATGGCACATTAACATGTGTTTACTAAGGCATTAGACATATTTATAAAAAAATTAAATATCTGAGGATTTTTCAATTTTCCAATTATCTGGGGCATTTTTGAGTTTTTTCATTATCTGAGGATTAATTTATTTTCTCCAGATTTGATTATAAGTAAGCAGCAGAATTAAGTCAAAAATTCCTAGCAGTATTCGCCTTGAGGACAGACGGTGTTAAATGCATAGATGATCAAAGCTATATGACATAATGTGTATTCCATCATAAATTCACCTCGCCGTTTATATGTTCTAATCGTCAGTAGGTGGTATATTTCAAAGTTTTTTAAGACATTCGAGACGTCTTATACAACAAGGCATGACATATTTGCCACTTATCGCTCTTTTTCCTACATAGCAGTTGAGATCATCACGTGCGTGTGCGTGACATAAGAATTTTAGCGGGTTTTCTCGCGCCCTAATCAAAAAGTGACACCTGACTAGCATTTGTGCCCATAAGAGATTGATTTGCTAGATTGATTTAGCAAGACGTGTATAACACGATTTTTATGACATACAGACAGACTAGTGCACAAATATGCAGGTAGACGGATCGATAGACGCACAAACAGGTCAATGGACAGACGGACTGATAGGGAAAGAAGATCAGACAGACCGATAGGAGACACACATCAAGCAGCTGCAGATAGGTTTGGATAGTAATTTACAACGCCCGACCGCAAGTAGCTTTCCTCAATCAGCTTGCGATCAATACACCAGTACGAGATAAAGGTAAAGCAAACGCAACCAATCGGGACTTTTTATACTGGTATCGCTCTGCAAACACAGGAACACCGAGACACAGCAACCGTCGCACAGCTACTCTTTATTCATGTGTAATCATAAGTTATCGACGCGTTTTGCCGAGGCTTTTACTTCGTTCTCAGGGTTTTTAAGATCCGTATTCATTCGCTCGAAGTACAAACGCTGGTACTTCCGCGCTTCTTCTACCAATGCAGCGAGTACTTCAATGTCATCCTCTGGCACCATGTGGAAGACGGCATCTTGATAATCATTCGGATCGATGCCCTCATTGACAATGGTATGCTGCGACTGTCCCGCTTGAATCATCTCAAGCGCATTCTCAACCTCGGGACGCAAGGCTTCGACATCCAAACCGAATAATTTCTTAATCGTTAAAAGAAGCGTTTGGGATGCTCCCAGCTTTTTTCCATCGATTGACCTGTAATGGAGTAGAGATTGCATCAAGCTCTTTGCTCCGTCCAAATAGCCTGCAAGCCACGTTTCGTTACGAATCTTGTTTTCGGAAACGCGATTCACTCCAGCCACACGTATGTTGCGAGGTTCTGATGGCGGAGGTGAGTTCCGGATCCGTTGTTATTGTCTCAGCCAACGTCGACGCAGCTGAAGCCAAGCGATCGCTACTGCAGCTGACACCGTGAGCGCTAGAGCTGGAAGAGGGAAAACCTTTACCATTTTAGCGGACGGTGGCCAGAGTAAATACACAGTCAGGCAAGGACTAAAGCGACTTGGAGACCGTTGCTATGCAAATTGAAAAGTGGGAAGTGCGTTGTAGCTCAAGCTGTACGTACATCTTTACGAACTTGAGGAGCGGTGTCAGACGGAAGAGCCTTTGCGGGCGGGCTTGCCGTCGTACGCTTCTGGCTCGGTTCGTGACGTTCTATCCGTCTTGAAGCATGGAGAATCTTCAGTTGCACAGCGCCGTCTTTACGTTACCAGCACGTGTAAAGTTGAAGTGTACTGGTAAGATGGAGAGGTATCCAGACTGAAGCTATGAGCTGATGCTCCGGTGCTAGACATGCTTCTGTACAAATAAATCAACCGCGTCTGTAGTACAAGGTTTCATAGTCAGTATTGGGCCAGTCGCTTATCAATTTCTGCCATTATCTCTCCGCTTTTTATCACAAATGTCTGTCTCTGCTCACCACTTTCTGGTTTCTGGTCCTCTGGACATAGTTCCCGTTCGGATCACAGGTCACGGACAGAGAAGAGAATCTCCAAAGAGCCAGTACCCGGGCCCCTTTACCTCGTACGGGAAGTCCTACATAGTGGGGCCAAGCTTTATAGGAGGAGGTCTTCTACCCGCTTTTTGAGCTACGAAGGGCGCGCAGCGTGCGATGCGAAAAGGAAGCAACCCGCCCAGATCCCGCGGTATGGGGAGTGCCGAAAGAGATCGGCATTCCCGTGCTTACGTGGTTCCTGCTCTTAACGACTTGCCTGTACTCGCGCCGACTTGTTGGCTGCGCGCGTAACCCACTCCCACAATGTGAACACTGATAAAACGTGGGGACCCTGTACAATCCAGTATCCAGCCATTTTTATGTAGAGCAGCAGGCCAAGATGCTCTACGACGAGTGGCTCGCTTGTGCACGTCTGTTCTAGATTGTGCACTGGGATTGGCCCGATGAGCAGAGCACGCCGACCCACCACGGAAGCGGCCAGGGAATACGTCAAGATGGCCCACTAAGACTTCGAATGGGAGACAGACCTAGTCATTGTGATGCGTCCCCTGAAGCAGATTAAAGCGCGAGTGCAGCCCGGCCATCCGGCCAAGAGTGCGCACACAGTTCTGCCCCAGGCCTTGGTCAACAACCGTTCTCACGTGGCTTTTTAGGGATGCCCCCCCCCCTTTACGCCTGGAGTATCGAGCCAGCAGAAATGAGGAACACGGTAGGAGAAGTACGTGTCATGGTCGATGACCGAGAAGGTTTTCACAAACAGGCATCGTAGCAGTGATAAGTAGCTGCAAGCGACAGTCTGCCCTCGCTCCACATACACAGTCGATCGTGTATAGACCTGGATGTGAGGCTATTTGCAGAGTGCTTGTTTCCTCCTCGTTAGTATGTGATCAAAGTGTAATGTCTAGAGGAGTGCTTGTATAATGCAGGGTCAGAAACTCATGCAAAATGTATTCCATTGTGCTTGTTCAGGAAGGCTTTATGTCGTAGAAGTCGTGTGCGAACGAAGCAGCCACATTGTAGTGCAACAGAGCCCGACCAAACACTTATGTCAGTTGCACTTTTCTTGTCGAAACTTGTCAGAAAGAGGTAGATCGACCATCAGAATTCCGTTGCGGCCTACGCGTGTAAGGGCATACATTAGCAAACCATTTTTTAAAAGAATATCACGTACTACATTCTTAAGTGCAAACGTTTGTGAGGCAAATGCCAACGGTCGTCATCGCTACGGGATAACTAGTATCAGCTACTCGGCTGCATCTTCACAACTTTTGTGCCATAAGGGCGAACGCTGATACGAATTCGTAGAGTTTAATCCAGGCCGAAAGGGCGAAGCCATCGGTATGAGTTCAAGTCGAAATTCTCAGCAGCAACTTCAGTAAGGATACTCGAGTAAGACGACAAATTTGTTGGCAGCTACTATGTGTGCGGATCCTTAACGTCGGCCTCGTCCTGTTGGCCTTGTCCCTTGTCAGCAAGTTTGACGCATATTGCAATACGGGCCGCGGTCGAGTCCGGTGTCTGGGCGCACTGGTTACCACATGAATGACGCTTTCAAGGTAGTCTGGCTATAATACAGTAGCATATCGTCATGCGTCCGCTTTTCAGTCATACAGGCCACCCAGGCGGCCTGTTCACCAGAACTACGCCGTCGATGGACTGGCAGCGTGTATCGTAATGTGCGATGGTGATATCTTGACAAACATTAGCACGGCTTGTCAATCGATCGTTGCAATCACCGCAGTAACGACGCGCTGCGCGGACGCCGCTAGAGCCGCACCTCCCCATGATGACTGGTTGTGCGGCGCGCCAGTCGGATGACACTTGGCGCGGGTAAAATGATAAAAGGAAGTACAAAGAAGTAGGCGTTGCTTCTTCTCCTAGCGCGCACACACTCTGTACTAGGCGGACTGACAGACACCACATTGCCATCTGGTGAAGAAACCTGGTGGTGGGTGGTTACGCTCGTCATTCGCAGAATTGTGTCAGTATTAGACCATTTATACTAAGCGAACGAGCGGTGGTAATCTGGTGCTGCACGCATTCGACCATGCTCTCACAGCACGTGAGATCTACTTAGGTAGAGAACGGATGCAGCACCACGACCACTCAAGTAAAGGACAACAACGACAGTCGCTTGACTGTCTCTTTAGGAAATCGTGCGATCGCGAGCGTCGCGAGGCGGTGTAATTGTGACGCCATCTTGAGTCCGTGCAGTGTGCTCAAGTGCAGATCAATGGAAGACGTCAAGTCCAGTTACATGACAGGAAGGGGCGGAAACATTACGGGCAGGCGGAAGTCAGCTCAACGCTTTACTGACCGAAAACTGCGTACCGGCACCTCTGATAATCTTTCCACATCACGCCCTCTCATGGCAGACACCCGTAAAGCCTTTTGCTATATAACTGGAAGCGAATCACTGAAAAATCATTGTGCTGGCGATGGGTGAACTTGCTCGAGATACAAGATAGTCAACTATCTCTCCGTCAAATAGGGAGTAGTGACCGTCTTACCGGACACTGATTAGAGACCTTCTCAATGCAACTGTAAGCGCATGGCAACGCATAATACGATAGTCTTGTTGCGTCCGAGCCGCTCTGCACGAACTACAAGCGCGCGACACTTTGTATGACTGTAATCGCGGGCATTTAACAAGCACAAGCTTTTAGCGTGAAACCACAGCTGCTTGATTCGTTTCCAACATTCAATACGATTACCAGCAAATGAAGGATAGAGCTTCGTAGCCTGTCTTTCGACAGAACATCTGCCTTCGCGCGTCATCCGACGATCAGCGCAGTATAATACCCTCAACAGGTGCACCTGTTTGGTCGGCAGTTACCACTTGAGACGAGCATTTCCATGCGGATATGACCCATTCTATACAGGGTCCTCGAAGGTAAAGACCATGGCAAGTGCTCCATGCACGTGTTTTGGTGCGGTAAATTAGAAGAGCCGTGGCTGCTACTCACTTTCCAATTGTCCTCGGCCAGCGCAACCAGCTCGCTCCACGATAACTGCCATCGACGATGAAACTCCTTCTCGTTGCCCTCGTTCTCATTGCTGTCGCAATCGACGGCTCGCCCAGTGTACGCACGGCTGCCGAGAGCAAACGCAAATACGTGAAAAAAGTCAAGCAACAGAGTCTGGTGCAGCACCAACAGCAGAGCAGCTATACCAGCTACGGCGCCTGCATCCTCACGGGCACGTACAAGCAAGGTACTGACGTTTCGTCGTGCAGCTCCATCACCGTCGATTCGCTCCGCGTGCCGCCTGGTGTGACGCTGGACCTGACGAAGACGAAGAGAGGCGTCGTCATTGAGTTCAAAGGCAACACTACGTTCGGAACGAAAATGTGGGCCGGTCCGCTCGTTATGGTCAGCGGAACGGATCTCACCGTGAAGGGACCGGGCGTCCTTGACGGGCAAGGACCTTGGTACTGGAAATACGGTCCGTCCATCACGCGTCCAGTCTTCTTCCGTCTTCAGAACGTCATCAGCTCGAAAGTGTCCGGGTTCACGGTCAAGAACATGCCCTACCGTACGTTCAGCGTCGTGACGTGCAAGAACACGGTTCTCTCTGGTCTCACAATCGACTCGAGAGCGGGCGATGGCATCGCTAAGAACACGGACGGGTTCAACTTGTCCAAGAACGACGGGGTCACGATCACCGGCAACACGATCTACAATCAAGACGACTGTCTCGCCATGCAGTCGAGCACCAACACCGTCTTTCGCAACAACTACTGCTACAATACGCACGGTATTTCCATCGGGTCTCTTGGCGGCAACGCTGTCGACGCTTCGACCACGGTGCGGGGTCTGACCGTTGTGGGTAACACGATCGTCAACAGTGTGAACGGTATCCGTATCAAGACCCTCATTGGTCTCAAGGGACTCATCACTGACGTGAAGTATATCAACAATAAGGTTCAGAACGTAAGGAACGCGGTCTCTCTCCACGCGAACTACCACAAGGGAATGGGCAAGTACTGGGGTCCGCCTACGAGTCAGGTGCAGATCACCAATATCATGATCTCCGGTCTCACTGGCTCGTCGGAAAAAGTGTACGACATCCAGGTCAACCCGAACGTGGTATCGGGTTGGAACTTCAAGGCCATCGATGTGAGCGCATCAATGAAGAGTACGATTGAAGGCTTGCCGAACCGCCGGGCCGTATAACCTCTCGTAGGTTGTAGCCACTCGTTGAGTACATGCGCATCATCTCGGTAAGTAAAGCGCAGTGCGGGTGTCACCAACAATGTCAGCGTAATTCTTTTTGATGTCTTCATGGCCCGTTCGATTCGACATTGAGTCCGATTGTCTGTTGACTCAACGTCAGGTTGCCTAGCCATCGACTCGTTAAATATGGGGCTACGTAAGTCGTGTCGATACCTACGCTCGCCGCGGCTATCAGGTGCTTTGTGGCAAGTCGGTAAGCAATCGACGCAAGTCTTTTCCTTCCTGGATCAATCCGTCAAGTGGTTCATGCCTCTCGGTCCATCTTCGCACTTGAGGTACCTTGCAAATTTGCATGTTTTGTCAACAATTCCCCCCTAGCCTTTTTTAAGCTTTTGCTATCAAGTACCCATAAGACGCCAAGGACTAGCAGTCCTTGGCCGCGCTAGCTAAGAGTCTGAGTGCTCTCACGTCGCTATCTCAGCAATCTCACGATAGCGCTCGCAACAGGTCAATGTGATCCAGCAGTCGAAGCTTTCATAGGGTTCACGAGCAGAGCGAAACAAGTCACGTACAAACAAACGGCTGACTGCAAAGTTTACGATCATCTGAATGGCAAGCCCATGAACAAAAAGGGCTAATGGTGCTGAAAACATATCGACCGATCTGCCGTTCGGTGTTCTTCCGTACGCTGGAGGTACAGAACGTTTTATTTCGAGCTGGCTCGTCAGGTGCCTGCTATAGACTTCAGCGTCGTGGCTATCAGTGATATAGCAGAACGCTCGCGCCAGCTGCACAAGTATACACGAAACTTCGGCTCAAGCATCGACTACATTGCCACCACAACACCGCTACGATAATGGAAGGCCTCAGTGCATGCATGTTTCTGCTTTCCAGCAACAAGACCAAGGCTGGTCATACGATTTTGGTTAGGCTGTTCATTCATGATTTTGCCTGACCTGTTTTCAAATCAATCAGTGAGTGTTCATAAACAACGTGCATTGCAACTGCATTGATAAATATATGACGAGGCCGCTTTGTGAACGACGTCACGCATCCTGTTGAACGTAAAACAACATGCTTTTGTAGTTGACAACGTGCACGTTGGTATATAGAGAGGACGCGCAGTGATTTATAGAGAGACTGCGCTAGCGACATTTGCTGTACGATGACACACGTACTACTACAATTGACAAAACACATGACTACAAACGAAAACCAGAAATCGATGCCCGGCTGTCGACATATTCGCATACTGGCACGGCAAGCGTTAGCTACATGCTACGAGGAATTCGCGTATTTCGTTTATCATGACTGATGCCGTCTTATGTAATCTATTTCCACCTAGGTCGAATGAACGAAGCTCGAGACTTTGTTGCACAATTGATCGGCTCCAACCTGTAGAATATGTTGTCGGATTGAAAACGAATTGATCAGTATTAAAATGGGTCAGTTCGTATTGTCAAAGTTCACATAGGTTTAATTAGATGAAAACCAGCTCCTTAATCGTTCGTGTGCGAGCCTGCAGACGATATGCACGAGTTTGGTGATAGATGTTCTATCCAAGCATTGTGTGAACTGCTAGTCCCTTCCATGCACAGACGATCGATTCACTGCAACCGATCACGATATTCTATCGCATAAGCTTGGCTAGGCTACTACTACCAATGACAATAGTAATATACGCAAGTCGGTGACTCATTACGGTCATTTTGCCGGTCATGGTTGTAACGGGGTAGCCCGTTACATGAGATTGTCATTAAAACAATCTGACAATAAAGAATATTACCTCGAATGTTCTTAAAACAATATCACAAGACATGGTGATATTGTTGAGATGACCATAGGGTATACTTTTTGGTTGATATCGTGACGATATCAACCCACCAATCGCTGCTAGACGCGCGCAAGGGGTGGTGAGTAGACGTCATCATACATATAGTTATATTAGTATAATTAAGTCAGGACAACAGAGATTCAAGGAGTTATAGGACTTAATTAAATGAATACAGTTTTACTTTTACCAGAGACTAGTCTGACTACTTAGTCTCCTATCCTTCCTCTGTGTTTCCTTAAAACACCTAGCAGGGCACTGTCGACCACTGTCGTCAGTGGAAGTATACTCCGCACTGGTCAACCAGTACGTAGTCAACAGTGCCCCGTTACACCTGGTAGCACTTTGTAGTCCGTCCAAGGACCACAACCCCATCGCCCAACATCAACATGTTGGACGATGTAGACGGCGACAGCTTTCACGGAACCCGTGAAAGCTACTCCCATTGGACCGACATCGAATAGAGTGCGATCGAACGAATGAGTTTGACCGTTGGCGAGGAAGCCATCTGGGCCATGCTATCCTCAAGGGATAGGGACCAGCAACAAGTCGTCATTAGCAAGTTCTTGCGACGAGAACTTGATGAGTCGCGAGCGCAGGTGACCTTGTTACAGCAACAAGATCACCAGCGGACCGAACCACTTAGACAACAACAGTCTCAGTCCGCAGAGCCGACGCGTGAGCGTCGACGGGAGTCTCTAAAACTAGAGGTCTCCAAGTATCGGGGGAGTCGAGGAAGACTCCCAGTTGAGGTGGTTCGTCGAACTGGACGATGCCATCGATGCTCGTCGCATCGACGATGAGCGAATGCAAGTCTCATTTGCTCATCCAAACCTGGCAGGAGAAGCCAGAGCTTGGGCCCTGAACCTCAAGTTGCACGACCCACATGTGTTTGGGTCGTTGAGAATCTTCAAGACCCAGCTCAGTGAGACATTCGAGCCGCCTAGAGCAGAGTTCAGGACTCTTTCGGAGCACCTGCAACTCAAGCAGGGTAAGCGTAAGGTTCACGCTTACGCCCAACATGTACGCTACCTTGCAAGCTGCATGGTAGTGAATCCTGTGAGTGAATTTGTGTTGATCACATTCTTTATTCAAGGGCTTTCAGACGGTCCCGTTATAGACCGCCTGTTCCACGGAGAGCTAAAGACACTCTCAGAGGCAATCTTCGCAGCGGCGCAAGGAGATTATAGCGTGAGACAGTCTCACGCTACGTTGACTCCGCATCGTCCACAGAGACGATTAGCAGTCAGAGGTCCAGAACCAATGGACCTCTGTAATATCGAGGGCGAGAAACCTCGCCCTGCGAATGACAAGCGAATGGTGAGATGCCATCGCTGTCATAAACTGGGACACTACGCATTTGAATGCAGTATCCCCCGCTCAGAAACTCGCGGTGATGAGCGCAGTGTTCACCCACCAGCAAGAAGAACTGGAGGGTGAGGGTCCGTTGCTGTTGCGAAGTCGCAACAGCGAGGTGGACCATCAAAAAACGGTCGTGATCAGTATGGGCGGAGCGCCCTACTGATCCAGCAACATCAAGAGAATTTGAAAATTTCTTGAAGAAGGTTGCTCCCGACACACAATGTCTGTGTGCTCTGCACCTGGTGATGAGGTGTTCCTCATCACCAAGAAGTTAGAAGTGACAAAAGACTTGTCACTTCGCGCCCTAGTTGACTGTGGGGCGTCGAACGATTTTGTTCGTCGCCAGTCGCTAGAGGCAGGAAGTCTTAACTTCGTGGAGCGGAAGATCCCTCCAATGAAGATGACGGTGCGCCTAGCGACTGGCGCATCGATCACTGTAAAGAAAAGTGTAGCCGGAATCCACTACATGTTAAAAGGCAAACAGTCTGATGATGATTTTATCGTGCTTGACCTAGACGACAAGTTCGACGTCATCTTAGGGTTGCCTTGACTCAGGAAGTACGAGCCAAGGGTGACTTGGCAGTATCGATCGGTTACGATACCTGCCACTTGTTCCTCAGATGACGACCTGACGAATATCTTGGAACGCCCACACTCACGTGGGTGTAATACGAGTGAGTGCGATGGCCTCACTTGTGGTACGGTCGTTAGCACGACTGTACAAGAACACAATGTATATGATCACTATATTGCGGGGAAAGCTCACCCAGATCCTGTGAAAGTGATTTTTCAGGAGGTAATCGAGACACTGAATGTCTTGGTTAATGATTGATCAAGCGTAGGCGCTTACACGCTTGATCCGGTTGCGCCTCCGAAGTCAACTTCGGAGATACCTCAACTTCCGACACTAGAACCGAAACGGTTCTTGCGTGATCTGCATAGTGGCAAAGTCAAGAAGATCTGTGTACTCGTCGCGGAGGACGAGTAAGTTACCGATATTCGATCGGCAACGGTGTTTACTGAGACCTAGAGGGTTCTCAGCAGTTCATCGATGGACGAAAGTGTCATCGATGAGAAGACTCGGATCGAGCATTACACGTCTCAATCCTGGAAGTATCTTCAGGCAAATCCTTTGTATAAGGATTTGATTGAATTTAAGGATGTATTCCCTGAATCCGTGCCTTGCGAGTTGCCTAAGGACAAAGGCACTCGACACGAGATCGGTCTCAAACCGGGCTCGAAATATTTGTGTCATCAAGCATTGGCCACTGCCTCGTGAACAAGTGATAGCGATTGACAAGTTCTTTGCCGATCGCTTATCAGCGGGCCATGTGAGGGATTCGACATCCCCTTACAGATCTCCGACCTTCTGTGTGCAAAAGTCACAGGAGGATGGCGGATAGTGCACGCATTCAACAAGTTGAATGCTGCAACGGTACCGGATCAGACGCCGATACCAAGGAAGGACGTAATCATAGATGGTATGTCAAAGAGTACCATCTTTTCGTCCATGGATCTGATGGTCGGATTCTATCAGATCCTTATGCGTGAACGGGATGTTCCGTACACGGCAGTAAGCACACCTAGCGGTATGCTGTGGATTGGCTAGTGATGCCACAGGGGCTGAGTAATGCCTCTGCAACATTCAACAGATGTGTCACAAATCTGTTGAGACCGGTGCGAGACTTCTCACCGAGTTACTTCGACGATGTGTTCGTCCATAGCCGGGCTATGGACGGAAAGACGGACGTTGAGGTTCACAGAACTCACGTTCGTAAGGTTCTTCAACTTATGCGCAAGTATAAGT